ATTTTGTATCTTCTTGCTTTGTTTCTTCTCTGACTTTTGAAACCTTGCAATTTGTTCATTTTGTTGTGCTATTTGCATCTCAAGGCGTTGAACATAGTCACTATTTTCAGCAGGTACAACAGTAGTCTTCATAGAAGAAGAAGGCCTCAAGCCGAGTCCTTTCACATAACCTGACCTTGGCTTAAGTACCTTAACTGACAACTCCTCTTGGCTTAAAGGGATCACACCAGTCTGCGAGAGGTGTTCGGCTTGCGTCTTTATCATGTTGTCCTGTTAATTTAAAATAAATCGAACAATTATTAGTTATTCTACCCTACAAAGCAAATAAATAATTTTATCAAAATTAATATGCATTGCCTTGTACATACATAATTAGCTTGGCTCTCCGACGAAATCCATTCATGTGTGTTCGAATTATAGTGGATGGACTTGTAAAACTTTGCCAAATCAGGAACTTCTCCATTTGCAATTATCTGATTCATTTGTTTTTGAATGTTATTTCAAATATTTAAATAACAAAGCCTACTAATCTGATAAAATAAAATAGCAGAACACACCGAGCTGTGCACCCTAACCGGGATTGATTTTGATCCACATCTATGTTTTGTTTTCATTTGCATCCTATTATTCACATTAGTTAGTGATTGTTCCTACACGATTGAAACACCAATAAAATAAGAAAACTTAACATTAGTAAGAAGAAAATTAATTTTTGACAATTAACATAAAACATTATACCATGAATTCTTTACTATTCCACTTCTTGTCAATTAGAGATGTCCATTGATTAAGAGTAACACTTGTAGGTGGGTGGCTTCTCGCGTACTCCTCCCCTCTTGCATCCTTAAGTTGCTTGTATTGTTTGTGCAACCTATAGGTGAAGCTACTCAATCGCCGACCAAACTGTGTGTTTAAAGTCCTTGCTACATCACTCGGATTGCCTTGTAGATCAAACTGATCCTACAAAATCAAATCATTTTTTTTATAAGTTAAATAACCTAAATTTCAGACAAGCAGCAATGAGCCTGATTAAATAACAAAGAAAAAAAATTGCATCAACAGATGTGTTAACAGTTGCAATTTAATTTCTAGATATGCAGGCATTATATATTATAACAGTTGCAACAGATGGGTTAACAGAGGAATATGTGGCTCTCGAAGAATAAGATGATTATCTTGATAACTGAATGAGCTGTTTGTTAGTCATATAAGCTCTGAGTTGTATACTTGCTGTTGGGAGTCAGCCAGATTGTGTACGCTGCAAATTTAGTATTACTCCTGTGGAGGTTTAGGCAATGGAGTTATGATTTTAATTGCTGATAGCAAATACACTCAAATTGTAATAGATGATAAAAATTCCCAGTTGTAAATACTTGTGATCTAGACACATGCATCAAATATAAATTAGAGGGGATAACATTTATCCTCTTATAAACTTGAGACAATGCTAAATTTCTGCAATCTTGATTATGGAGCAGTAGCTCCTTTGGACAATGCTTTGATCGCATGTCTGTTGTAAAGGTGTGAAGCGGAATTTTCTTTACCAATCCACGACCAAACTGAATCAATAAGTGAACTGGATAAATTCCATAAAAGAAATACTTTGTACGAGTGTCCTACCTAATTCAATAATGTCAGTAAGCACTCAAAACATTGCCATATTGCATTTATTTTTTCAGGGTTCACTATACTTTGAGAAAACACTTCCTCTAATCAATTTGTTGGATGCTGCCATATGATACTTTGTATCTTCTTGCTTTGTTTCTTCTCTGACTTTTGAAACCTTGCAATTTGTTCATTTTGCTGTGCTATTTGCATCTCAAGGCGTTGAACATAGTCACTATTTTTCAGCATGTGCAACAGTAGTCTTCATAGAAGAAGAAGGCCTCAAGCCGAGTCCTTTCACATAACCTGACCTTGGCTTAAGTACCTTAACTGACAACTCCTCTTGGCTTAAAGGGATCACACCAGTCTGCGAGAGGTGTTCGGCTTGCGTCTTTATCATGTTGTCCTGTTAATTTAAAATAAATCGAACAATTATTAGTTATTCTACCCTACAAAGCAAATAAATAATTTTATCAAAATTAATATGCATTGCCTTGTACATACATAATTAGCTTGGCTCTCCGACGAAATCCATTCATGTGTGTTCGAATTATAGTGGATGGACTTGTAAAACTTTGCCAAATCAGGAACTTCTCCATTTGCAATTATCTGAATTCATTTGTTTTTGAATGTTATTTCAAATATTTAAATAACAAAGCCTACTAATCTGATAAAATAAAATAGTAGAACACACCGAGCTGTGCATCCTAACCGGGATTGATTTTGATCCACATCTATGTTTTGTTTTCATTTGCATCCTATTATTCACATTAGTTAGTGATTGTTCCTACACGATTGAAACACCAATATAAACAACAAAACTTAACATTAGTAAGAAGAAAATTAATTTTTGACAATTAACATAAAACATTATACCATGAATTCTTTACTATTCCACTTCTTGTCAATTAGAGATGTCCATTGATTAAGAGTAACACTTGTAGGTGGGTGGCTTCTCGCGTACTCCTCTCCTCTTGCATCCTTAAGTTGCTTGTATTGTTTGTGCAACCTATAGGTGAAACTACTCAATCGCCGACCAAACTGTGTGTTTAAAGTCCTTGCTACATCACTCGGATTGCCTTGTAGATCAAACTGATCCTACAAAATCAAATCATTTTTTTTATAAGTTAAATAACCTAAATTTCAGACAAGCAGCAATGAGCCTGATTAAATAACAAAGAAAAAAAGATTGCATCAACAGATGTGTTAACAGTTGCAATTTAATTTCTAGATATGCAGGCATTATATATTGTAACAGTTGCAACAGATGGGTTAACAGAGGAATATGTTGTCCATGTTTTTCTAGGCAGTCTACAGGAACCTAAAAATTCAATGTCAAGCTTGGACATGAAATGTCCTACTTGTCTTTCTAGGCATTATATATTGTAATGAAAAACATTAACAGCAAGAAAATGTGAATCATAAGTGTATACTATTGTAAATATTGCTTTTTACTGTCAAGATATTGCCAAGACCTTCCTAGTGTACTCAAGCAATGAGCTGAGAATTGCCATCTAATTATGATACTTGTTCTAAAGTTTATCAAATTTTTAATAATTTATTTGTAATAAAAAGATTGATATTCAAGTGTGTCTGCAGGGAAGGCCTTGAAGTCACTGATGATGTATCTATTGTGGAGCACCTCAAACATCCTGTATACATAACTGAAGGATCTTACACCAACATCAAGGTAGTGAAATTTGCTCTATGATCTTGAGGGAAAAGGTGGACTAATAATTCAACACAGAACTTTTAAAAAGAGCAAGTATTGGAAACAAATTTTTAGAACAAGTTTGGAATTTTTCAAAAAGATTTGATGAAACAAAGAGAGTAAGGATTGGAGTGTTCACATCAAGCCCAAAAGATGCAACCACCAACTGAGAAATTGAGCAGAAAAAAGCAATGTGTAGAACACCAAACAAAATACGTTTTGATCCCAGAGAGCAATTTTCTTATTTAAAAAAATAATATCAATCTTGGTAAAATGCAGCAGTCTTATCAGTTGACAGAAAATGAGGTTGCCTACTACATCACACAACTCATCAAGTGAAAAATGGCCCATCAAACATGCTAGAGTTACTACCCCTGTTTTAGCTAATTCATCTGTTTCTGAATTGGACAATTCAGGCACCCTTGATTCAGCTAACCTTTTACTTGACAATAATTACCTCCAAGCGTTGGATCATCGGCTTCTTATCAGCATCGTGAACCTTATTCCACCTACAAATGCTCAAGTCTGGTAATTGCGTTCGAACCTCTATGCCAATCTTGGAGGCCAACTTAGAGGCTTGATCTCCCACTGGCGCACGGAAATGTTCAGGTACAGGAACCAACATCTTTCCATTTTTCTGGACAATGCGTTGGGTTTGTATGCCGCGTGTTGGACCACGACCACGTCTGTCATGTGATGCTGTAAGGACATAATGTTAATTGAGTTAATAAGTAAACAAATGCAAGTTAGACCTTAAATTAAATATAAGCAACTTTGCAAACTTACCAACACTACTAGATGCAGTCACCTCATGCACAGGTTGCACATTATGAGGTGGTTAGGGTTGGGTACCAATCTCTTGACGTGGGGGATCCATCCCTTCTTCTGGGGTGGGAGTTAATGGCCTCGAATGAGGCTGTAAACGTAACCCCGGTGGCATCTCTTGTTCCTGAAATAACATAATCGAATAGTAAAGAAGATATTTAACACAGTTAAAATATATTTTAAAAAAGATATGATGTTTAAGATATATGAAGAAGATATTTAAATAGTAAATGATATGTTCACACACAAATATAAAATAATGTATATAATACCTTGCGATAAAAGGAACCCAATGACTCGTTATCACTATCGTTCTCACTCTCTGACGGATTATACTCATCATCATCATCTACCTCAACCCTAATTTTCTTTTCCTTTGCATTTGCACATTTGGGCTGAACCACACTCATCAAAGAATTTGTAATATTCTTCACTCCAAGATTGTTCATTACCTCATAGTTCTTCTTGATTCGCTTATTTCTTTGTTTCTCATATTCTGTTAGCTTCTTAGTTCTCAAATCACCTGGTTTCAGCCATTGTCTTTTTCCTCCGACCATTTTCTACAACTATATAACATAATTCAACTTTAATTAGAAAATATAGACAATATAATTATTCACCATTAAATAAAAGAAGAAAAACATAATCCCAATGTTTCGAATTGTAATGCATATATTTTAACTCCAAATATTTCATAACAAGGAAGTTCCAATCCCTTGAATTAATATTTCACGCAAAAATTTTAAATCATATATTGCAGAGTAGTGAAGGTTTCCATGGAAAAAAAATCAAGACAAGAGATCCTCTTCTTAAAAGAGGTGATGTTCCTGTATTACATATATTTTAAATCCAATTAGGATTGATGATCATTGATGCTTAACATAATTATGTCTTGCATTAATCATATATTACATTTGATTTTCTAATTGTTATACATTATGCAATATTGCAAATTCTAAAAATATTTTTTCATAGACATCCTAACCATATTTTTATTTATTTTTTGCTATATCGATGTATTGAATTTTATTACTTTTTAACTAAACTTGAATTTGAAATAGAATAAATATGCACTTATTTTCATTTTTTTGTTTTGAAAAACAGCTTAGATATGGTAGTGAGTATGCAGAGAAACCTTGCAACAGTGGCAGTAATAGTACAAAGACGCCATGGCCATGATCATATGTTGAATGAAGAATATGGAAGCTATATTTATCCTACAAATGAGTCACCTTCTATCTCCTATAACAATAAGGCAAAGCAACAGCAGCTCAGGCAGAGCAGCAGCAGCCCCATAATTCTAAAACTATCAAGTTGCTCCATAATTCTAAACAATGGGATCTTTTGATAATGCAGAGCAGTAGTGTAGCCACAGGCAGAGCAACAGCAGCAACCACAGCAGTCAGCTGCAGCCAAGGCCAAAGTCCACAGACACAGCAGCAAACAGCAGCCAGTTGCAGCCCAGATCACAGTCCACAGACAGAGTAGCTAATACTACAGCAGCTGCAGCTGACTGCTGTATCGCTCACAAACTCATACGCTTATAACAATTTGAATCTAAATAATCATAACCTGAGAGACAAAGTGTAACAAGTTGAACCTTCAAATATTACTTAAACGTTTTATGATCAACTCCTCTGATGATTTATTGCGTTTTTTTTTTAATTAACTTTACTTATCAATAAAAAAAAAATCATTATTGTTGATATATGGTTGTGGAAGAACATGGGCTTTTGAGCTTTGCAAGATTTCAAATTTGAAGCAGCCTTGAAGAGTTTTAAAATAAAGTAAAAAGACAAGTTTTTAATATATACATACTATGTTACCAGAAACATATTATAACTTTAAAAATGGGTAAATTCACTTGTGATATTGGTATTTTATATCAATTCCTGTTTTTTTCTTTAGCCTTTTAATTATGATAACAAAGTCTGCTACATATTCACCCAGTTATTAAGAAGTTAACGAAAATTAACCACGTGGTGATCATGAGCAATTACCAAGTGGCTATTTCGGCCAATTTCTTAAACGAAGACTAATGGATAGGAGTTAAGAATTCTTTGTTCATAAATCTCTCCGTCCCAAAGTACTCACTTTTATTGGATCAAGTGAGAATTTTAAAATATAAAAATCTCATAATATGTTTCAACAATTATCAGTAGTGGTTTGAAAATTGACTATTTTAATTGACTTTTTACAAAAGATGCACAAAAAAAATATAATAATTTATAATGATTTTTTAACTTTTACACTAAATATATTCCCAATCGAGTCCTCAGTGTTTTGGGAATACAGGATTCAAAGAGATTGATACAAAGGTTCTGTGAGTTTCCACAAAGGAGGTTCCTAGTCACATGTAATTTTTTTTTAGGTACATCGGAAAGTTCCTAGTAACATGTAATAGAAACCATATTGTCCATTGAAACCAAGCTGGTGACAACTTCAAGGATCTCCTTCTTCACCATTCAAAGGATTGAAAAATTTATTAGTATATAGGTTGACTTTTACTAACCAATACACGTTTGCTAGGGTTAAAAAGCAGAGAAATTCATCTAAATTTCTGATTTTCAAATGCTTAGTTGCCAGCAAAAGACGAAAAATTATTTTCCTTGAAAATTGTTTAAAAAAAATCTTCCATTTCCAAGTTTGAACCTTACCCTAAAGCCAATGCAAACCCTCAAAGTCAAATTTTAAAATATTTACGAACTAGCAAGACAAAGAAAATAAGAACAATATAAAAAAGTGAATAATTTTTCTAAATTTTATTACTGAAAAAGAACTTAATAGTTGTAAAATCTTAAATTTTAATTTATAAGAAACAATGCTTGGTGTAAGTCACAATTCATGCTTCAAATCAAGCTAAGATTACATAAAGTCAGAAACTGTGAAAAATAAAAGTTAGAATATATTCTAGAGAAACGTTACTCAAAACGGATTTATTTAAACTTTGAAATTAAGTTGTTAATATGTTTTCAAATACAATATATTTTTTCGTTCGGAGACCAATAGAATTCACCTAAAATTCAGATCGAATATGAATGTTTTGGCCTGATTCAATGACCTTGAAATATCAACAAAATTATTATTTTACCAACAATTTGTCAAACCGCTCCATGAATTTGCTGTCATTCACCACTGCATTTATACACCCAAATGTCACATATGACTTAGCAATTGGGTCAATTTGAACTGGTATGCTACTCATTTTCCCATATATATGGATTGACATTTCAAGTTTTATATTTCTTCTTACAGGTAACTTCAGGGATGCAACCCCTCAAGTCAAAATTTAAGATATTTATTAAGTATACTAATGCACGAAAATGTATGGAATAAGAAAAATACAAGAAAAAAATAAACCACATAGAAAAGAGACAATTTTTCTGAAATTTTATTACTAAAAAAGAATTAAACAGCATCGAAAACTTCAAGTTCAATTTACATCAAATAATGTTTGGTGACCAAATCACAATCCACAACCCAAATCAAGCCAAGATTGCCAGGGACAAATTTCATTAAAAGGACTTTTATATTTGGCTTTCACAAGCCCCTAATAGCACAAATCAATCCAACAAGAACAAAATCAAGACATGTGAATCCAAAAGAACAGTTATAAAACCCTAATAAAAAATAGCAAACACATATATGACAGAGCCAAACAAATATTCGAAGATAATGAAATTCGAGTATCAAATCTGAAATTGAGAAAGGGTTTGTAAAGCATGGGGCATGTTTGGGAATTTTGAAGAGGAAATTTAAAAAATGGAGTGATTGTAAAAGAGAGAGACAGAGAGAGAGAGAGGGGGGGGGATCCGAACATACCTTAAGAATGGAACAGTCAATCGTCGCCACTGCCGAATGGAGAGCACCGTTCGAAGTCGAAGTTGTCTTTCCTTCAAACCCTCTCTCTTCTCCCTCTCTTCTACTACGTTTTGCAGCTTACAAATTCTATGTTTAGAAGCCAAAAGAAAAAATTAGTAGAGCCTATTTTGGGTTTTCTTTTGCCGCCCAATTTTCCCTCCGAAATCGGTGACAGAATTATTATTAACAACGAAACTGTTTTCTCACCAAATGATATAAAAATATTAAAAATTATTGGTGACAAAAATATATTCGTCATTAATAATTTTATAATTGGTGACAAATTGTTTCCTCACCAAAAATCTCAAAAATTTGGCACCATTAAAAAAAAAAGCAGAAAAATATTCAGTGACAAAAAATAAATAAAAATAATGACGAAAAATAATTTCGTCACCTAATTTTTTTATTATCTATGTAGATTGGTGACGAAATTTTATTTTTCTCTCTAAAAATAGTACATTTGGAGACGAAATATTATTTTTTTCACTAAAAGGTACGTTTTTCGTGATAAAATTTATTTTCGTCATTAGTTTTCGTCTCCAAAGATGATAATCCCGAGAGAGTTTTGAAATGGTTGGAGATAACTTTCGAAAGCTGAATCATATCATAATCATCATGGGGGTAAACTACCCTAATCCAGGGGAAAGTGCCCAACAAGTGGCTTTGAGCGGACTGAGGGAAAGGTTGGGTTCATGCCCCTTGTTCAATTGATGGCCTGATCAGATGTACTAAAAATTACCCTTAATGTCCAGTCACTGGCCGTTGATTGGGTTTATACCCGTTGTTCGATGGATGGCCCGATCAGATATACTAAAAAGTGCCCCTATTGCCCAGTCATTGGCCATCTTTTCCAACATTATTCAAGCATGTGTGATGGGGATCATCATATCCTGGAACAGTTGCCAACCAATTAGACTCATGCTTCTCTTCTTTCCCGACATGTTGAGAACTTACACCAGTCCCCCGTCCCTAAAGTAGTGATGGATTCCTCATATACATTTTGTAATGATCATGAATGCAATGCCCCTTGTATGGGCACTCTCAATTTATTTATGAATTCCACACATGGACTTGTTTTTGAGTTCGGAGCGAACATTTGTGTATGGAATTTTGACCATGCTACTCTGTTGAACTTTGAGCGACAAATACGCTATGGTGACTCGATGAAGAGGGCTTTTAAGCAACAAACACGTTATGGTGACTCGATGAAGAGCGTAGACCAAGACAAACACCAGACACGACACCACAAAACTCACAACTAACCCAAAAATAGAAAAAGACTCAAGGTAACTAATCATTCATAGTGCTCCTAGTATTACTCATGTTCGCTTTAGAACTCAATTTCGCAAAACCCGAGTTTTGATTTTTTTTGTTGCTCAAGTTAGAGATTCTATTGATAAGTTCAAATATTGAAAATTTCTCCACTTGTTGATTCAAGCTAGTTCTTTCCTACCCAACGCAAATATGTGATATGCACAGCAGTCGATGTAGCTCATGGATTGATACAAAGCTGATGACGTGAATCGGGCAAGATGATTAGGCCAAGATAGATGAGATGGACATGGTTGAGACCGCACTTCAGGATAAAGTTGCCTACGTATCCCAAAAATAGAAATTAACGTAGTTCATGGCTGAGGTTCACTCGAGGTATTAACACTCTCCTTTTACACTCTAACTTTTGCCAAAGTCACCCATTCGGGTTTTCAACCTTGTGAGCTCTATTTTT